AGTTAAGAGGTCTCTGAAATGGTTTTGGCACCCTGGCTGCTGCCTTCAGAATTCCAGATGACCAAGGACTCCCACCCAGCAACCACCCTGATGCAGGTCATCTTCTATTTGACGTGGCAAGCAAAAGCCCTCTATACTACTTCTAATCTTGTAAAAAATTTTAAAGATTTTATTTATTTATTTTTAGAGAGAGGGAAGGGAGGGAGGAAGAGAAGGAGAGAAACATCAAACTGTGGTTGCCTCTCACTCACCCCCTACTGGGGACCTAGACCACAACCCAGGCATGTGACCTGACTGGGAATCGAACCAGTGACGCTTTGGTTCACAGGCCAGCACTTGATCCACTCAGTCATACCAGCCAGGGCAACACCACTTTTAATCTGCTCTTAAAACACAGACCAGTTAGGTATTATCTGCATTCTTTTTAATGGACGAACAGACAAGCGCAGGGAAGTACGTAACTGAACCAAGGCCATACAAAGCCAGGCTGAGAATTTAGTTTTATCTCCTGGCCAGTGCCCTCTTCTCTGGAGCAGTTTTACTAGGTTCTGAAAAAAAGACCCTTGGCATAATCATTTAGTCCAAGCCTTTTTCTTAAAGATGAAGACACTCGAGTGCAAAGAAATAAACCGGCTGGTAGAAAGTCAAACACAGAATAACTATCACACAGTTCAGGTCTCCTAATGTTCAGAATGGAGTATTCTTTTGGCAAAATAAAGGTGAAAAGAAAATAAGCCATAAAACCCCACACAGTTGGGAGCATCCTGAGTTCCAAAATTCATGCAGATAAGGCGCAATGAATGCTTTCTAACAGAGAAGCAGGTTAGAGGTTGCACACTGGCAGGTGGAATTTGGTTGTAGACATGGTTGGTCTGGCCTGAAAGTGTTGGCTTTCGTTTGAGTTTGGGCAACGTTAAAAACAAAACAAAACAAAGATACTCTGAGATCTTAACACTAAAAGAAACCCAGATTTTTGGCTTTTCTTTAAAAAAAAAATCCAAAGCTCTGGCACAGCTGCACACACACTGCCACCCTACCAATCATCCAGTGTTGGGCAAGAGAGGCCTTTGGAGGTGGCAGGTGCCCCACAGCTCCCACTGTCTCCACTGCCCCGGGGGGCCTGCCGAGCCCTGAGGCCAGGGGTCTGATGACTCCTACAGCCTGGCATATGGAATTTGTCACCACTGGACTAGATGAGTACCCACGGGGGGAGCTTTTATTTTATTTTTTTAAAGATTTTATTTATTCATTTCTAGGGAAAGGAGAAAGACAGGGAAAGAAACATAGATGTATGAGAGATACATTGGCCAGCTGCCTCTCGTGTGCCCCCAACAGAGGACCTGGCCCACAACCCAAGCGTGTGCCTTGACTGGGAATTGAACTGGTGACCTTTGGTTTACAAGCTGAGTCAAAGCCAATTCTCAACTTACTGAGCCACACCAGCCCTGGCCTTACTGGAAACTTTTAAACTTTCAACTGGGTTATCTAACTTGACTTTTCCCCCTTAAGGAACAAGAATAACACCTCACAATCCAAATGCAGGGAAGATTTGCTAACTGAGGCTTACCAGTTCAATAATCACTGAAAAATACACTACTAGAAACTTTTAGAGAACACACACACAAAAAGGAAAGAAAAACACATCAGAGTGTAAGTGGGCTGGAGTGGTTTTAGCATTTCCTACAGCTGTGGAGAGAAATACTTGGCCAAAATTAAACTAAAATGTTGGGTGAGGGCACAAATGTGTCAACCTTCACTTCTCCTACACTTGTGCTCCGGGGGGTGGCGAGTCTGAGATACGGGGAACCGGATATCAGAGCTTCTCAGGCGTGGAACAAGCTATAGAATGGACTAAAAATATCACAAGTGGAAGTGAGCCACACTCTGACAGAGAGCCTTTTTGAAAAAGGAGACTTGTGCTAATAATGCACATGGTGCCCTCTAGCAAAGGTGCTGGTGGCAGTCTAGCCCTTCATTAAGTGGCCCCACACCTACGTCGGGAAGCCATTGGCCAACACACCCATTTTCGGCCAACCGAAGCTCGGAAAGTGCAGAGATGTAAGGAAATCCCCCCAAATATTAGGTTTGTAGGTTATGCCAGCCCCATACTCTTACCCCGTGTCCTACAAAATTTCTGGCAATGAATTTTATAGTGAGCAGATATGTTGTCTTTTGGGGATGTACTTATCCAAAGCTCATTTGGTGAACTCATCCAACCAGAAGGTTTTGTTACTGGTGACAACCTGGAGTTATGATTTGGAGCCTTGGAGATAAATTTAGATCCAAAATACCTATGTACTGAGTAGTGCAAAGGATGTGTTCCTTTGAGATGTAGGTTCACAAGCTGGTCCGCTTACTAGCTGTGTGTCCTTAACAAATCACTTAACACTTAACCTCTCTATAGGCATGAGTTCTCTAACAAAAGCTGACCCACAGATGAAGTAGCTGGCATACATAAGGCACCCAATAAACATCCCACATAACCTCCCTTCATTTCACAGAATATTAGACACTACAGGGCCTTAGAAGTTGAGCAGTCTAATCCCCTCCCAAACACAGAGAGGATCAAGGCCCCCAGAAATGCTCCCAGCCAAACAATGACAGCTTCTGCAACTCTTGAGACCTGTGCTTTGGTACTTAACTCAACACTGGTTTTCTCATATAAGCCAGCCCATGAGACGGATTCTAAGAGCTCACAGGGATAGTGACAAGGCAGTCCTTTTGAGTTACAGTAGCAAGTGCAAGGGCTATGTACACAGACCTATTTGGCTGAAGTTTGACATAGGCCTTACTACTCCCTACTGCTCTCACCCTCCCAAACTAAACATATCTTGGTTGCTTAGTGGGCCTCTATACACATTCAAGTTTGGTTTATCCAAACTGACTGGCTGAGCTGCCCTGTCAGTAGTTTGGATTACTGGCCAACCAAAGTTGAGGCATGATACTCCAGCATTATGAACCTCACACACACACACACACACACACACACACACACACACACACACACGTGACACCAAGATCACGTTCTAAGTTTGGTGCCTGGTCTGTAGGGGAATGGCTGACCCTGTTCAATTTCAGCTTGCAAAGTGATAGTTTTGCCCAAGTGCATTCTTAGAGAACAGGGACGTGGAAAATCAATGACATGTCCAGAAAGGCTGAGTACCCTCCTGATTCCCAAGAGAACACTCTTCCGGAAAGACTTTACTAGCATGTCAGGTGTTAGACAGAACATAGAGCTCAATGGGAATCAGAATCCTGGGTCCTGAACGGGAAACTTCATACTTCATATAGCATGTTATAACTATGTCCTTCGCTTTCTCTTGGGAGAAAAACGTGTTTCTGAAAGTAAATTATGGAATATCATCGACTGATATCAAACGCTCATCTGTGAACTGTAATTCACCTAAAGCCACTTCTCCCGCTGGTCACTGGAGGTTTTGGGGAAAGCAAAGGGCTGAGAAGAGGGTTCCCTGGAAATCCCATGGTACATCCCCCCTGCAACTCCAGTCCCCACAATGTATCCCAGCATCAAATATCCAACTCTTATGTCCACTATCACCAAATCTTCTCTTGATCATTAAGAAAATTATAGAAACAGTTTGTCCGTATGTTATGAGAAACAACTACTGGACTGGGTGAATTAGTAAGCATTAGGAAGAGTGGTTGAAAGCAGAGTAATTTATTATGGTTAACAGAAAACCCGGAGTCCAAACATGAATTCAAACCCTTATTTGAATATGCTATTTTAAATCTGATCTGTGGCAGGGCACTGACCAAATTAAATCACTCATTTTACTGACTTGAGACCCAAGCTTCAATTCTCAGGTGGATTGTTTTTAATTTTAAAATAAGCTCTTGCCCTATAAAAATAAGCAGCCCCAAGGAGAAATGCAAGACACCTTAAATGGCTCAAGAGACAGAGCAGTTACTTTAAAAGAAATTCAAAAGTATTAACGTCATTATTTCCATTTGTAAGTTTAGAAAATGAACTTTATGGCATAGCTCTAGGTTATAATGAACATAGACAGGTATATCACTGATACTGCTCCCTAAGGTTTTTGTTAAGTGACAGATGTAGGTAAACAGATGTCACAATATGACCACGCAATGCACTACTATGTGGCCATTTAGAATAAAGCAAAGGAGAACTATGTTTCAGCCATAGAAAAATAGGTGATAATATACATTCAAAACAGCAAGTTGCATAAGTCATTTTTGAGGGGAAAACTTATGTCTATGTGTGCTTATATATAAACCTTCTTGACACACACTGACATCTGGGATTCTAAATTCAACTGCAATAGTATATTTAGATTTAAAGAACTGTAACAACAGCTCCTGCATCCCCTTCTTGTTAAATTCCTGATCGAATTCTGTTTTCAACCCACTTAGCAAAACCCCCCACAACTCTTCAGTCCTTGGAAGGCCAGGGGAGGGGAAGGCGTGGCTTGCAGGGTTTTCTTGTAGCTGGAGGAAAGAAAACAGGCTGTAGGTACCCCCTCCCCCTTTTTAGCTATACTCCCGAGGGCCCCCACGTGTCAGGGGCAAGGCAGATGGCAGGTGCGGAGCGCAGGAGGAATCCGGTACCCATCCTGCCAAGCCAGTGCTGGTAAGGGGTGCGTGTAGCTCGCCCGTTTCCTCCCTCCTCAAACCCCCATTGACAGCTTCTCCGCCCAAGTTTTACTTGCGAGGCCCAGCCCTGACTCCACACTCGAGTACACATCTGCGGAGCACACAGGCACTACATGAGGAGAGTTGTGATGTGTTCTAACCACGATCCCGTGTCATTTAGTCTGGGGTCAGTGTTGGGGCAACTGACAGCCCAGAGCTACTCTCCAAGTGGCCAGATGGGGTATGGGGGAAGGTGGACAAAGTGTAAACTTAAAAAAAAAAAAAAAAGACAGATATCACCTGCCTCTCAGCGCCGGCAAGTCGGCTGGAGGAGTTAGGAGTTCTGGGAGGTCGCCAGGCAGAGGTGCGCAGGTGGCACCGGGACTTACCTTGCAGGGAAACAGGACCGCCGAGGCCACCTTCTCCATAGCAAGGTTCCTGATACTGGGCGTCAGGGCTCCCCTGCACGTCGGGCAGCAGCTCAACTTCTGGCGGCATTGGTTACACACCAGGTGCCCGGCCTGGCACTGCAGGATGGGGGGCAGGACATAGTCAAAACAGACCGGGCACTCGAAGAGCGAAGTCAGCTCGTGGTGCTGCGGGGACACCGGGCCAGCCCCGCCGCCGCCGCCGGGGCCCGAGATCACCGCTGCCGCGGCGGGCACCGCGGACGAGCCGGGGCCCGCAGCCGAGATGGTGGCGGCGACCGAGGGCGCAGCCGGGGACGGGGCGTGCTGGGGCTGCGGTGGCGGCTGCTTGCTGCAGGGTTTGCTAGCGCTGGGGCCGGTGGAGGACGGGCGGCTCATCGCGCTCCGAACCAACCATGGACCTGAGGGAGCCTGCGGAGCGCGGGGCCGCCGGGGTCAGGGCGGTGCACGACCCCAGGGCGGCGGGCTCCGGGGAAACGCCACCGCGCCCGCTCGGAACCCGGCACCGGATCGGCCGCCGCGCGGCGGGCTGCGGGCTGGACCGCGCCGACTCCCTCCGCCGTCCCGCGCGTCCCGAGCACCCTCCGCGCCCCGAGGTCCCTCCTCCCGGCGGCGTCGCGGGCCCCAAACCCCGGCGCCGCGCAGAACCCCGGCACCCGGCCCGCGGAGCGGCCGCTGACGTAAGCCCCGGGGGCGCGCGCGGACGTGACGCCTGGACACGTGTGCGGCCGCCCGGCGCGCGGGGACCGGCGGAGCCACCCCGCGACTGGGGCGGCCCCGCCCGGCTCCAGCCCCCGGCGCACGGCACTGCCTGGGGTGGGCGCCTCCTGCCCCGACTGCCAGCACCGACCGCGCCGAAGAGCAGTTCGGCTCCCGCAGCGGCGCGGGGTCTGCTTTTCGGGGCTGGGGAGGGGACTGCCCTTGGGGAAGGCGTCGCCGAAGTCTGTGGCCACACCCTGTGGAGCCACTGCGACGCTCCCCCCGGGCTCAAACCAGAAAGACAACTTCCAGCGGGGCGGGAGCTTCACTGATGGGCGGGGCGGGCTGCGGGCGCCCTGGGACAGGTCGGAAAAAACCGAGGTTCTCTTCCCCGGTTGAGTCACCGGCGCGCGGGGGAGGCGAGTGGTGCGGCCCGCTGGGCTCTTGGGCTGGAACGTGGAGTCAGGAGCTTTGGGTGGAAGCAGGAAGGGGGGCTCGTGCTGGGTTTGCAGTGGGCAAAGCACCTAGTATTGGGCTGTTAAGAGTTGGTTGGGGCCCCTCCCTGGTCCTGCTCTCTAAGGTGGGGAAGAGGTAAACTCTATTCTCTTGCCCGTGGAAAGGCTGAGACTTCATTGAATCGAGCGCTTCTGGCTTGCTTAGTAGGCCGGGGACGGAGTTCATAAACAGTGTTCCATGTCCATGTGGAGTTCGAGGTTCCCTAGGAGTGACGGGAATATGGCTTGGGTCGTGAGGCCACAGGAAGACGATGGGTGACTCCCCAACATAACGCATTGTGCCCTCATCTTGAGATTCCCGCGAGTTAAAGGCTTTGGTGGGAGGTGTTAGGCACACATCCTGCAGAGTGAACCACATGCCAGTTTCAGGTGTACTGCGTGCTCCGAGTTGAATTGCTTTTCTGCATAGTTGAGCCGCTGACACTGGAATTGGAGGAAGGGGCTTCTTAGGTGGGATTCAGATGATTTTGTAGGAGAGACAGTGGTAAGGAATGAGGGACAGGACTGGGCGAAGGATGCATACTGTCCGTGTCACTTCGGATTTCTTTCATTTTCTGTGCCTCCATTTCCTCATCTGTAAAAGTAGAATGAAAACAGCACCTATCTCATAGGTGGGATAGAGAGATTAAATGAGTTTGATATATGCTAAGAACCTGGCCCATCATAAGCACGGCTTAAATGTTAGCTGTTACTTCAAAAATATTTTAGTGAATGTTTACTACTCATATTGATTACCAGTGAATAGAATGTGTTTAAGAAATACACTGTTGAAGCCCAGAAGAAATTAATTTTAATTTCTTAGAAGGACTGCATGCATAGAGTTGGTGGAATATAATCTGAGTCTTGAAAAAAAATTAATAGCCGTGATGCCATTCGATCATTCAGTAAATGTTTCCTGAGCATCTGCTATGCGCCAGCCATTGTTTGGGTTCTGATGATGGTTGTCATTCAGTTTCCCTTCTAGTAAGGGAGCAGTGCAGATAACCAAACACTCATGGGAGAGGGCGTCAGATTAAGAGGTGCGGTGGGGTCGGAGACATCATAACAGGGGCTAAAGCAGAGTGTGACAGTGCATTTCGGAGTGCGTTGGACTTAGGGTTTGGTGGTGGTGCTTGGGAGCCTCAGGTGGCCTGGTAAGACCTTTACCTCAGTGACAAGGAGTAACCACTGAAGGTTTTTGAAAAGCACTGTAGTATGGTTGAGTCAGAGTTTGGAAAGGGGGTACAAAGTAGTTATAACTGGCCCTGGCTGGTGTGGCTCAGTGGATTGAGCCACAGCCTTCGAACCAAAGGGTCACTAGTTTGATTCTGTGTTAGGGCACATGCCTGGGTTGCGGGCCAGGTCCCCAGTAGGGGGCGTTCGAGAGGCAACCACACATTGATGTTTCCATCTCTTTCTCTCTCCCCCCTCTCTAAAAATAAATAAATAATCTTGTAAAATTCTTTACAGAATAACAATAAGTAATATTTACTGAGTGCCCACTATGTGCCAGGTATGGATAATTCATTCTAAGGACTCTGCAATAACTCTACATGATGGATACTATTGTTCTCATTTCTATTTTTATAGTTGAAACTGAGACACAGGGAGATTAATTTGCTCAGGATCACACAGCTGATAATGTCTGGAAAAAGCTCCAGAGCCCTTCTTAACTACTAGTCTATATCCCTTTCAGAGATGCCTGACTCCCACTTATGGTCTGGTTAAAGAGTTAAGATTGGCACACTCAACACAGTCACAAAACAGATGCAGGGCCTGTAATAAAGCACTGAATTTTGTGGGTGCACTTTACATAAATTCTTTCCTTAGCTGGCCTTCAAAAAAAAACATTAAATCATTCTAACATTTTTATTCTATTTATTCCATGTGTGCTTTTTTATGTCATAAAGAACATAATAATGACAATAACAACAGAAGAAATCAACCACAGTTTCACTTTTATTGGAGAAGTATAGTATTTTCCATTTTTAATTTAATACCCAAGCAAGTGGAACTTTGTAATCCCTACATGAGGATACATATGTTGTCTGACCAGGGGTCAAACCTGCAACCTTTTGGCGCTAGGGACGACGTTCTAACCAGTGGAGCCACCCAACCAGGGGACAAGTGGAATTGTTACCAAGATTCGTTTCCTTCCACCTCTGGCCTCTCAGTGTAGGTGGCCCCCGTGCCCAGGGCTTACTAGCTCTCGTTGGAGAAGAGGGGTCCCCATCTTTGCTATGTTGACAGTGAGCTTTCTGTGTTTCAGCTCAGCCAGGCCCTGGTTGTCCAAAAGGCAATTTTGTTTCAGAGGTGTTGAAACAATGAACAGAAAAAGCAATTATCTGCGGAGAGATTTGGTTTATTTTTCCAAAAACACAAGTAAACCATCTACTCTTACTCTGGCAGTTGCCTCCCATGGTATGGAGAAATTTCTTCTTACTTCCATCTACATATCATTGCACTCCTGATTAAGTCGAGCAGGTAATTAAAAAAAACCAAAAGTCTCTTTTGGCAGTTGCTGAAGATAGGTGGGATGGGAGTGGAAAGGCTTGGTGGCTGACCCACATTTGTGACCGCTCAAGGCGGCCAGGCTGGCCTTTCCAGTCCTACTTCCTTCTTCCTCCTTCCTCAGGACTTTGCACATTGGACAGTGAGCTTGAGCACTCTATCAGGAGGGCATACATCCGTTGTGAGGTTTATTTGCCCTGGAAAGTTGCTACTACTGCCTGGCTTGTAATTGGGTGATTTTGTGGCCTGGGGAAGACAGAGGGGAGGTGGTCCAGCCTTTTGTTATCTCCTGATTCATGACTCATTTACCATTTGTACCGCATGACAGGCTGGCCTCCTTCCCCCCTCCCACCGCGTCCTGGATTGCACAAAAGGTACACGTGCAAAGCAGGACACCTCTCCCCCTCTGTACGACCCTTAAAGCCTACAAGTGTACTGAGTAACCTTTCTTCCCTTAAAATATCAGGGTGAGTCTTGTTTCTTTAAAAAACAAAACGAAGAGCCCCAGAAACCCTCACCTAAACTGCCAAGCTCGATGAGAAAGGCTCCAGTTAGCAGACAAGCTCTTGCCCTTCTTTCTGTCACTTACAAATTGTGTGGTTTTGCAAATCGGGCAACTTCTGCAATCAGGCTAATGGTGTGCATTTTCAGAGCAAAGCGTGGTTGAGGTTTAGACATGAGTCAGGATTGCACTGGAGCTTGCTGCGTGGAAATTTCTAATAAGGGGAAAGCTTGTGGGAAATTTGGAGGTAACTGTGAAGCCCCCTGATAATTATGGTAGGAACTTCTATCTTTATAAATTACTTTTGTTTCTGGGGTAATTTCCACATGCTCAAACTTCCTTTTTTTTTTTTTAAAATCTCACCTGAGGACATATTTTTCACCACTTTGGGAGAGAGGAAGGGAGAAAGAAACATGGATGTGAGAGAGAAGCATCGATTGGTTGATCCCATATGTGCCCAGCCAGGGAAGGAACCCGCAGCCTAGACATGCGCCCCACCAGGAATCCAACTTACAACCCTTTGGTTATGGAATGATGTTCCAATCAACTGAGCCACACCAGCCAGGGCTTGAATAATTGTGGGTCTTTCCAGGTATTTTCTTGAACAGCCACCATGAACTCAGTACTGTGTATTGCACAGAGTAGGTATATACACTTGCATTATCTTTGTATCCATAATTGGCTAAAGTTTTTTAGTGCTCATCCTCTGCCAGGTACTGTTTTAAGCACTTTACATATATTAATTATTTTCATATTCACAGTGGTAGATGCTTACAGATGACCAAACTGAAGTACAGAAAGGCCCAGTGACTGGCAGTAAGCAGTCTCTAGGACGGCTCCAGTGATGCCTCCTCCTGGAGTCCTTCCCTGTGCAAAACCCCTGCCTTGAAGTGAGAGCTGGACCGACTGACTCATTTTAAATGGACGAAATAGGGCCAAAGTGGTGGAATGTCATTTCCAAGTCTAGGTTACAAAGAGACTAAGACTTCTGTCTTTCTCTCTGCCTGTCTGTGATCCTTCTCTGTGGTGAAGTCAGTTGCCATGTTGGGAGAAGCCCCATGAAGGCCCACACTTCAAAGAACTAATGTCTCCTACCAATAGCCAGCAAAGATCCTAGGCGTAGCCGACAGTTGGATTGTACTCGTGTGAGACCCTGAGCCAGCGGACCCAGT